ATTTTCAAAAACATTAGTAATTTTTGAAATAATGAGTGTTCAATGATAAAAGAATTACCCGGTGTATGAAAACTAACGTACTCGTAAAAGTATAATTAGTTTAAACTGTATACTATAAAACACATTTTAAAGTGCAATTAATTAAAAACGCGTAAAACATGATATAATAAATTATAATACACAAAGAAAAAATAACCACGTCCCATTAAAAGTACTAATTTAAGATGCAATATATATATTATACATCATATACCTATATATTATTACAGTGAAGTTACGAGTTTCATATGCGACATGCSTGTGTAAATAGTTTATTTTATTAATAGGCACATCAAAAATAACACGGCCATTGAGTGCACATAGTTGGTTGAATAAATTACTTTTAAACATAGATTTATTCGGTTCGGTGATTATCGTTAGAATATAAAAATAATATTAGTTTCATGTTTAATTTAGTGACGACAGTGATGCGATTTATTACAGTGTAAATGTATTTATTTTTTTTTAGATCAAACGATTAAAAAAATAATAATTTAAGTACAGMAAATAGATAAAAATAGATAAAAGTGAACATCATATTTTATTGTTATTGACAAAATGGAATAAGTAAAAAAAACCAAAAACAGATAATATACGAGAACACAACAACAGTTTCTTAAATACATCACGTCACGTTTTGATAATAATATGATGTACGTTTAAATATAGGGTGGGCAACAGTGATTCCGCGTTTACCCCATATGGCCAACATAGGATCACGGGGTGGGCGAATACCCTGTAYAGTGTATTCACCCAACACACGTGTAAGTACCTATATATGTATACAATGTATAATATGATTTCGTTACATACGATATATGCAGTGCCGCAGTGGACCAAATCCTTTTAGTGGATTGAAAATAAAGCGCTCTATATGTATATGCCGCCGCAAGAAAAAGAAGAAGAGTGATGCAAAGTATAGGACACTGCTACAGTGTGCTAAATTATAGCTCGCGTGTAGGTGGTCTATATGACGTATACACGGATATAGAGAGATAGTCATTGTCCATTTGGAGGTGATATAGAGTTGTTTTAACGCAGGCGAGGGGTGACGCGTACATATAATTCGTTTTCTGCGCGACCCTTTCCATCCGAACTCTGAAGTGTTGTATACCAACAGCGGCGACGGCGAGGTGGTAACAACCCGTGTTTGTATATATATATATATATAGATACACACTGCACGAGTGTTGGGACTCGTGAGTAGAGGGTGGTAGCAAATGAGTTTGCCGGCCGTCCTTTAAAATCGAATTAACATTGATCCGGCGGTACCAGCGGCGCCCTTAACAAAACACACCGCTTGTATATAGCGTAGCCGCCGCCCCTGTAGCCGACGAGAAGGGTCGAAGATAATTTCTCCAATCCGTACAACCCCTAAGCACTTCCGGCCTATTCAAAGCGAACGTTTCCTGTTTAAAAACAAACCCCAAAACGCCACACACTCGCAACAATAAATCAGACAACGCATACACACACACACACACACACACACATATATATATACATACATATAGGTATAGAGTGTTTGGAGGTAAGTAGGTATATTCGAGACGTGCACCTATAATATACGATTAGAATATGCACGCGGTAAAAAACGAATTCGTTGAGAAATTTTAAAAATCAAACACGTTCGCCCCGCGTCGCGTATAGGTTCTATATACATCCAAGCACAACTAAATATAAATATACAAAGGTACCAAATAATCGTTTACGAATCTGAAATCAGTTGGATATTGTATCATAGATCCATAGATAATAATACTATATACAATCGATAGGTATATACAAATAGTTGTACGATGGATGTTCACAGTTCACATTTGTATTGGAGATCGATGTACGCATGAGTATAAATTTGAGAACAACATTTCCATGAAAATATAAGTTTTTAMGGCGAGAAAATACGATTCTAATAAAATATTGTTCAGTATATTTAATATGTTTCCAGCAGAATATTTTCTACAATAGYATACCGCAGTTACTTTACTTATAGATACAAAACTTCAAATGGATTACGGTTCCAAAATAATATAAGATTCCAYAAAAATATACAATTCCAACAATATAATATAATATATTACCAACGGGATATTTTTCAACGAAAATACGGTTGCCAATGAATAATTATCCATCATCTGTTTAMTGCGCTTCCAAATAACCGAACAAATTATGTTAAATATGCGTTGCCCTATGAGTGCAGTTGATATCTCATAAAGTCATAAGTGCTAATTCGTGTTTTTATAGACATCACAGAAATGTTACCTAATAATATAGACATCATGATGACGAATCATCTACGTATGTAGAAGATATACAGCCATCGATGATCACGGTGATCGATGGCGAACGACAGACTGTTTTATATTATCTGGTCGTCTTATAATATTTGACTCGCGTATATAGTATACATATATTATGTGGACCGGAAATGTATTGATAAAAAATAATCGTTGTACAAAGACTCAACAAATTGAAACCAATATTGTAAAACGACATGCTTTTACCTCAATAAAACGAGTTACAGTTAGATAAGCGCTAGATATTTGTTTTAACTTTTAATAGGCAATTAATTATTTGACCAATTTATGTTTTTAAATCACGTWGGTATATCGCGATCGAGYTAAGAACCAAACGAAATATGATGATGTATAATAAAAAAACAAAATGTACCACGCCAGTATAGCGTAGCTAGTCGTTTTGTATTGTAAAGTCTGCAATATTATATACAATATTATAGTATATACATTAAACATATTATACACAATATATATTTATATATATATATATATATACACAAGAGACGTTTGTGTTTTCACGATTATCTGACCAGCAAAGTGTCTTAATTATCTGCCGGCCGGATTTATTGCTCGAGCACATTTAGACCGACGTCATAAAATATATAAAACACACGAGTCGTGACATGATCTGGAACTGAGGTTTGTGTAAAGAACGGCCAAAAATGGCATTACACGCGGTATTTAATAACACGCGTAGCTGATAATGATAAAAAAAAATAAAAAAATTGAAATGGAAATGAAAAAAAAGCGCGCGCGCGCTTAATATATAATAATAATGTAATGGCGTGATCGTGGTCACAGTTGTTTTTGGTACCTATCTATATACGTACGAACTCGTATTAATGTATGATAGAAAMAACGAAAAAAGCGATACCTACTATTATATACTATAGTGTTAGGATGAAATTCGGACCGGCCGTGAGATTTCGAGAGGCGATTGTGTCCGGTTCGGAATCCGTTGCGGGCCGGCTTTGGACGACAGACAAAAGCCAAGCCGCCGCCGCCGGTGACGACGGCGGTGCAGGTGGAAATGAAAAAAACACTAACAGTTACTAAGACGCGACGACGACGAGTAGAAAAAAATTACATTTATATGTATTTTACTGTGTAAAAAAAAAAAACAAAAACCTCAAGTGGAATGTCGTCGGGCGTATTATATACAGAAACGCCGCGGCAGAGAACTGGTGGCGAGAGCTGATAATAATAATAAATATAATAATATGAAAGAAAAAAATTGTCTCGTCGCGTATATATACATTATGTGCTCGGCTGCTGAAGTGACGTCCGTCGTAAAACGTGTGCACACACACACATATAGGGCAGGAATGGCATCCCGTAAATCAAATCATTATACATAATCATTTTAAATAAATAATCGTTTATTATGATAATAGACTTGATATTTTATAAACAAAAAGCAAATAAAACTGAAAGCAATCAATTTTTTTAATTGAAAATATTTGTTGAGAATGTTGACGAACAACTTGCTCGTTAGGTTAGGTTAGGTTAGGTTAGGCTAA